TTTGTCTTGGCATGGGAGTTGAGTCCCTTTCTAAGCAAAAGGTTCAGATAGCTGCAAAATACTGGAAGCTGTCTGGAGAGTAGTCCAACAAGTATGATGGAAGAGGCAGAGTTACGTAGCCCAGCATATTAGACTTCTACTTAGGCAATTAGCTTTTACTCCTCACTTCACAGAAATAGCGATGCGGAAGTAGATCTGACCCGGTTACAAAACTCTGCCTAATCTACTAGACTACCAGACCTCTTACGCTCCCAGCAGCAATTTCTTATACATTTGCCAAAAATATCATTTTTAAATGGCTTCTATTCACGAGAATTTGCTCAAAACCATCTTCATTTCTTGGCTGTGCAGTGCATCCACCAGTTGTTGATCAGCTTCGTCATCGCAACTTTTTCCTATACTCCTAATCTAGTGAACTTGGACAAGAAGTCAAACCTTATTTTGGGAAAATCTACGTTTTAAGAAAATTGTCGTAATTTTCTTAATGAAAATCCAATGCAACATCTTAATAAAGTGTAAGATGTCTCTGAATTGGCGTGATTTTCTACATAAAAATCACATTTGTACATCGGAAATAATTACCGGATGATCACAACAACTCGTCGCTATCTTCCCAAATATCTGACATAAGTGCTTTTCTGGTACGACCTCCTCATGTCAGTAGTTGGTGTTGGAATTGCAAAGCTGCGATAAAAAGGCGCTTTTTGAGAGTATCTTGCTGGCATAAGTGGCCATTCGATAACATTTTCTCTCCTTTCTAGAAAACATCGCTTTAGCTTTTCATTATCTCGTGTATATCTTCCCAAGATTAAATCTCTTTTAGACTTTCCCAAGCACATCTTGGCCTGCGAGTGTGTAGAAGTTTTCAAACGCTTTCAATCTCTTCAAACACCTATTCGCATAATTTATTTGAGACATTGCAAAATTGTTCAAAGAGTCAATAGGCACATATCAAAGACGACTCAAAGGAAATTATGGTTTATAAAACAAATCAGTATCTTCCCATACAGCCTCAGCATACAATTAAAAAATTCTGACCAAGTATTGATGGAGATCTCTTAGTAAATCAAAAGACGAAAAAAAAATTTAAAAATGCAAACAAAATGTGTTAATTACGCAAACTTTTGTTAGTGATCTGGTGAAGAATGAATGTACAGACAAGGTGAGAACAGAAGTAAAAAAAAAATGAAGGGAAACAAAGTGAAAAGCATAATATCGGTAATTTCGAGTATACTACACATGAATCTTATGAAAATGATGCTAGGAATGAAAAGAGACAGATTCTGATCCACTAGGAAAGTATTCTTCAAAAACTACTGATTATTAGAAAAAAAATGAACATGACCTTGTAAATGTAGCAAAGACACTAAAAATTGGAAAGGCTCAAATGCAAGCATGTTCAGAAAGGAAATATCATTGCGGAACAGAAACAAGCGACTAATGAGTAAATAAAACATAGGAGCAAAAATCTGAGGCTCAGAACTCCATTTCCTCGTCTGACTCTTCATTCTTTGGGCCCCCTTCTTCATCAGAGCAATAGGTCCGCTTCCTGCTCATATCCAAGGGTTCAACCTGATCCTTTGTGTTGGGACTTCCCGCAACCTTCTGCTTAAATATGCGGTTAATCAACAGGCAAGAGAAAGTCCAGAGTGGTTTACTGAAGCTAGAAAAAACGAATGCCTGCAACCCTAGCTTCAAAGCGCCTACTATAATGAACATTTCTTAATTTGGACTAAAATACAGCCATATTTCCTGCATGAGTCATTGTTGCAGACGTACCGCATTGTAGGCGAAATCTGGATCCCAAAAATCGCAATCAGCACGTTCTTCCTGAAAGGAACACAGCAAAAGTGTTGGGAGATGCTAGCTCCAACCATAAGATCCTTTCGAACATTCGTTACAAAAAAAAATCAGCGGTTTATCATACTGGCCTGTTTTTCATCACTATAGGACTAATGATCAAGTCTTCGTGAAATTTTTTTTAGCGAATATAAGTTCGTTGAAGAATTATGTATTTGATTCACTACTTGCACACTAAAGGGGTGAACAGAGCGCACAAAAAAAAAAGGCTACGAAAACCAACTCCAAAGAACAGCTGTTCGATGCTGTACACGTCTGGCGTTTCAGATGTGTACGGGGGGTTGCCCGTCATGCGTCGACCATCTTCCGACACCGTTGTAACAACGTTGATCGTCTTATCGAGAGCTCGAAAGTACTTGTCAGCTTTTCGATAATGCCTCGATGGCGAATGCAGAAGCTCGCAAATCCTAGAGAATACACTATCGTTTAATTTTAATTTTCATTGCAAGACGAATTCACTAAGCTCTGCGAACCTCTGCCAAGTAAACGGAGCCGCCTCAAACTTGGCAGCCTTGTCCAATATAAAGTCGTACATTCGTTTATTCTCAGAACCTTCACTGAGATCAAACGAGTCAGGACCTTCCCGTTGTCGATGCCACCGCACCATTTCATCCATGCATGACTGGAGTACAAGTATCATATAAACAGTTTCATTCATAAGAGAACTGCGTAACATACTTTAATTTTCCACAAGAAAGCTGGACGTACGAGCTCCCATGGCAGCCGCGATTTGCCCGTCTCCGTAACGTTTTCAAAGTATGCCTCAATCATTGGATCCGGATGAGTCCTGAGGGGCATGAATGAGCGTCTAACCAAATCGGTCTATAAATACTATTTCATTTTCATTTCCTCGTCTCAAACCTTCTCAAACGGAATCAAACGTGTGCTCCTGCACAAAGAAAAGAACAAGGGAAAAAGAATTTTAAGCGAAGGATAACTTTTTAAACTAGCAAAATTCATTCTAAAATTACTCTTTCTTTAACATTATAAAATATTTGATGATCATGAGGAGCGTAAACGACGCACCTCTTTTGGAACTGTAAACTTTTCCAAGGCAATCTTACATTTAGGCAGTGGATCTGGCAGCGGTGGCAACTCAAACTTCATAACATCTTCATTATA